AGTGTACAAAAATAACCCCTACTATACTATATAAACTGTAGAGTATAACTAGTACAATACTATATATAGGCTATATCTACAATATAGGCTTCAAATAACAAGCTTTTGATTATAGAAAAAAATGTCAGTCTGCACAAAGTAAATGTCATATTTAAAGTAAAGTCATAACCACTTGAAATGGTTGTTTAGTCTGTGGTTTTTGTAGCGAGTATGCTAGCGGTCTAGTGAAGTTTTAGTAAGGTTTGAAGGGATTTGATCTGCAAATTACTAAAACTTCAGCTAGCTGAGCTGACAAGTTCAACTAAATTAGCTATTGCGCTAGCTGGCATACTTGCTTTCCAAACTTACTAGCCTACTGTTTCAGGTTGTTTTGTCTCTTTTGTTTAAACATAGCATTTACTGCATGTAGCACTTCATTCTGTCCATCAGACTGAAGGCTTCCTATAATGAAAGGCTCATTATTACAATCCCTATCAAACCTGACGCTGTTGAAAGCAGGAGAACAGCATTGCAATACTGTAGCAAAAATGACAGGCAACATTGCATGTAAGGTTAGAAATGAAGGGTATTTTCACTGACCATATTAAGGCTGGTGGCCCTTATTTGCTCATGCTTTTTCTCAGGATGAAATTTCACACGACTAGGCCTTGAATTGCAGCTCTGTTAAAGGTGTGTCTTAGTTGAGTTGCAAGTCTGGTAAAAGAAAGTCTGAGTTGAGTTGTGAGTCAGATAAAGGCGAATCCAAGTCGAGCTGTGAATCAGTCAACATGTGACTTGAGTCACAGTCACGGTTTTGAGTCCCTGTTTCTGCTAACTAGGCTGTTTTTGTAATAAAACATGCAGTTGCTCATTGTTCTTTAAATACTGATGATAAGTGCTGTATATACAGAAAACCATATTGTCACATAATGTATCACAATAAATATTGTCATAAACTCCTATATTTCCATGTTTTTTTTTCAATTCCTCCAAAGTTGCTCTGTGTCTTGTTCTACATGAAGATGTTTGTAGTTAACTCAGATTCTCTATCCTATTATCTGTTTCAGTTACTGGTACGCCAAAGTGTTGCCGTTGTCATGTCTCGCGCAGCAGTATGTTGTTTTGGAAGGTTTATTCAGGTTGACAGGAATATGCTGGCTTTGCTTTATGGCCGTGATGAGTAATTGTAAGTAATTGTATTATCCTCTGATCACAGAAAAGAGGTGCAGCAGTCTTTAAACAAGTCATCACTAGCTAAAGAACTGAAACGCTCTTGAGTCAGGTCTCTCCGTGCACCTTGCTGAGCTCAGACCCTGTGTGAACCTGTTGCATTTGTTTGACTCTCACGGCTTCAAGGAATCCAGTCTGACTGCTTTGCCACACCTCTGTTTTTGGCAGTGTGGAGCCAAGCTGAAAGAACTGAACTGTAGCTTTTAGATTTGCATGCAACGCAGCACACAATCACATTAATCAAACTACAAAGTGACAGCTAGAGCATACTTGCAAGCCCTGTCAGATGACTCGTAATGAAAGTGTTATTTTGGGCTATTTAACTGAAAGTGTTAATTATTTTGTGTTAATATTCAAACATTAGTAGTTAAAGGAGAATTCCACAGATTTTTGCTTAATGGTTAAAATGTAACTGGAGTCATTCAGAGTGGTTTGATGTGAAGTATGCTGTCCCAGAGATACTTATCAAGCCAGAATTGTTCACAGTGGTGGTGATAGTAACCAGACATCTGAAAACTTTAATGCCTCTAAAAGCTCCCTCACAGAAAGGTGTTATATTAAATGGTTATCAAGATGTTGCCTGATGTCTGAGACATTGTTTTACAGTAGTTTTGCATGAGCTTTAGGCTAAAATGAATGTTTTTTTAAATCCATTCCTTCCCTAGAGGTACATGCAGGACGTTGTACGGCAAACTAAAAAAATTCAGATTTACCGCAACACTATTATCATTATCATAACATTATAATCAACATTACATATAAGAACTCAGATAACACATGTATGTTCACTGGTCTTTTTGGATAGTAATTTTATTTATATATTTGCATTGTAGGCATCACAACCCATGGTTCTGTCACCAACACTGTACAGAAATTGGAGTCGTTCCACTACAGTGAAACCTTACAGTATTCAACAAACCACGTTGAATAACTTTGTTTACATTTCAAGGCTTCAGTTGTGCAGAAATTCAGAAATTCCCCATTAATCTTTATTACATTCCAGTGTATCCGGTTCAGGAAGAGTGTGGTTATGAGTGAGACATTTAGAATGGACTGTTTGATAGTGGGATTGTTTAAGAGTGGAAAGCCAAACTGCACTGTCAGTGTCAGTCTGTCTGTGTTCACATGCAAAGATTTTTATCAATCTGCACTCCACTAAACAATCTGATGGAAAATCTGTCTACATGCACACTACAAGTAATCCGATCCACGTGCGTACATGCGTAGAGTACCACTTAGTGTAGACGTTACCATGACAACGAGCATGAGTCCAGTCAGAGTGAGACGAGAAGCAGTGAGCAGTGCTTGTGTTTTTAATTATTTTAAAATGATGTCCGACTCAGGAAAATGTACTTCACATTTGCTTATTAAAGAAGGCCGAGAGGAAGACATCGTGTTCTGAGACACATAAGCTCTTTTAAAGATCAAAGCATAAACTTCATCTCCTCTGCAGACCAGTTTCTGCTCCCGCCATCTTGAACATTAGAACTTTCGCTATGATGCAAATGCACATGCACTGAACGTACCTAAGCTTTGTGATTGGGAATGTAATCAGATACAGGTGTTTACACGGCTATTATTCTTCTACTTAACAAATTATTTACAGGATTACCCACCTCGTTCAGTCGATAGAAATTGTATTCCAAATGGCCTCGGTTGGGCTAGCCTATTCCGACTGAGGTGTATACATGGACGTATTCTATTCTGATTTAGCTATAAGTTGGATTATTAACAGGTTATCAGATTGCATGTAAATGTGGCTTTTGATTAACAGGAGTTTATCATCCATTGTATGTAGCATAGATATTAATTCATTTAGATCAGTGGTTGTTATGACCCCATATTTTGTCTAGGGTGCTGTGGGATCAGTAACGTGACATTGAAACACTGAACTAGTGATGAAGCTATTAAAGAATCAGGAACAGATGCTTTTGAAGCCCTTTAATTAAAACCAACCACAAAAAAAACACTGTGCTATGATACCTAGTAACATGTTGCTGAAACTAGTTACACTACAAAATGAAACAAAAGCTAACTAAACTTCCCTGGCCAGTAACCAAAAGTACATGGAATGGTGCCCACCCTCTGATCTAGGGAACTAGACAGAGTAGATTTCTACGTGGTGCAGATATATAGGTGTGCCCCTCTTACTGGTTTGAAACCCCAGGTGGTACAAATCAAGCAGCTATTGTAAGCTAATACTGTGGAATGTGCTGGCAAGATTTGCCAAACAAAGCACATCCTTAACACAAAAGACAAGCTATTCTGTGAACTAAGTTAGGGAATGTGCTGGTAAAACACTTAAGAGCTGTAATGCCTTGTAAAACATACCTAAAAATGCACAGTTTTTCAAAACAAAGCACACCCTTAACATAAGAGAGACAACTCCTATACATAAAGTTAGGAAAACATGCTGGTAAAAATACCTAATGTAAAGAGCATTCCTAACATGGCATGTTAAAACAAACTAAAACATATCACACATCTAGTAGTCCTCTCTCTCTTCAGCCATCTTGAATGCTTTTGAAGGTTTAGGCTCTTCCCCCCCAATTACACAGGCCAGGATTCTGATTGGTCAGAGGCCCTCCATATGACAGAAATCAGGCACACCTGTTAAGGGGAAAGACAGAGCAAAACATTTCTTTAAATGGAAACAGTGGTGCTTTGAACACTGTTGTGTTCATTCTTGCCGTCCTTTTCAAAGAATTTTCGGAGCCTGATGAAATGGGTTTAAATATGATAAATGGGTTTAAATACGATGTTTTCACCTCTTCAGTTGTCGCGTACACCACCAAGCTGCAGCGGCTGCATTTGTGAAGGACTCACATTAGAATCCATTGTGTGCACTGCCTGTTTAATGCGGTGGGGTTTGTGTACTTGTAACTGCTGATTGGGTAACACCTCTGACACACCCATTACATAAGAGGAAACATACCTCAAAGCCTGATGCACCCCGTTTCAACAAAACATATCATTCAACCCGGAAACCATAGCAAAACTGTGCACAGCGTTTTGAGGTTGAACATGTCCAGGGAGAGATAGAGAAACAAAAGAAAACCAAAATAACAGTGGTCTGTGTGACTGTGTAGCTTAAAATGTGTGCTGTTCACGTAATTCAGGACTTTGCTCACATTTTTCTTTTGTTTAGTCAGTCAATATTGAACTGTCCACGGGGCTCCTGGTTTTATCTTCTCTCACAGTTAAATAGGTTGGTTTATGAAGTTCCACACCATAAACACAGATGAGTTTCAAAGCAGAGACAGTGTAGCAGAATGAAAACAATAGTTTGCTTTCCTTTAACCTCAGATGTAGCTGATCAGTCATGAAATGTTTTGTAACCGAAGTTTACTTCTTTATGTGGCTGACAGGAAATGAAAGGTTATACCTGAACAAATAACGCCATGCAAACTGTATGTCTGAGTGATCACACGCTTGCCTCAAACTGTGTTGCATTGTTAAGTTGTTAAGAGTTATTTTTAATCTCAGGTAGACATGTTTTTGTGGCTTCTGACGATGTATGGTATGGTTTTATCTTTTAAATTGGACAAAAGTGTGTCACGTACTTAACTATTTATATAAAAAAAATCTGCATAATTATATCATTACTATGCAAACAAAGTCATCAAGAGTGGTATATATATATGATACGGTGAAGATGTTTACTGTGAAGTTCTCAGTAAATTTGTGCTTCGGTGAAAGTCCATAGTGTATCTGATTCTGCATTCTAATGTCTGAATCCACAGTGTTCAAGCATTAAGCATTTCTTTCTGCTCTCTTTGTCTTACTGAAAGGTGGTGGAGTACACAGATGTCCGTACACAGTCTTTAAATGTGGATTTGAAGAATGAACTGAAGAGCGAAATAAAGACTGAGGTGGTGGAGGCTCAGCCATTGGCCAAGCTGGACACTCGCTTCTTCGGCGAGCTCCTTGCTGAAGTGTACCGCAAGAACTGCAACATCCACAGCTGCATTTCTGAACATGTGGCCAAAATCCGTGGACGGTACGAATACTTCAGAGTTTCTCTTTTTGCATGTCAGGCAAAGACTTCAGACAAGAGATAGGAGTGTAAAAATGCATACATTGTGAAGGTACCAGTTCAGCTTTCACCCTTTTTTTTTTTAATCTGAAAAACAGCCAAGTACTTTTATTTTAACGTAAAGATCCTAAAAAAGCTTGCTGTGTTGTTTTATTGTCTGTAATATTGTCTAAGTAAATATCTCATCCATTTACTTTGTGTATTCAGTGTATTTTAAAAACAATTTAAGAATTTTACCAAAATTACCAAACTTAATTGAATTCTAGTGAAATTTCAGATTGAATAGATTCCTCAAGAGCTGTGATCAAATTGAATCATTGTGGGGTTAGAGACACCCTTAATGGTAAATTGAAGCCATGAGAGGCTGTGCATTATAGTAATTTTATCACGGGTGAGGGTGTTATTAGGCAGAACATTAAGCAGAATGAAACCTCTTACCCATGATAAAATCACTCTAATGCATGACCTCAGGTGGTTTATTGGTTGTATTAAGTGGCAGACAGTATAAAATGTGATAAAACAAATAATTTTTCAATAAATAATTTAATAATATATAATGGACTGCTGCCCTGCGATGGACTGGCGACCTGTCCAGGGTGTATCCTGCCTTCCGCCCAATGACAGCTGGGATAGGCTCCAGCACCCCACCGTGACCCAGAAGGATAAGCGGTTTAGATGATGTATGTATGTATGTATAATGGACTGCTTCATCATTGTATACTGCAGTCATTTCATGAACTTTAAACCTTTTGTTGTATAATAATGAGCATATCATAATATACTACTGTTAATGCAACTAAATTAGTTTAAAGTAGTTTTCTTTGTCCAGAAATACCACCACAACGACAATGCCAATTTCCATTAGCACCTCTATGTGATTTCCAGTCTTAGCACAAAGCTAAAGTTGGTGTACATAGCTTTTCCCCATGCTGGGGCCGAGTTTCAAATGGCTTCCTCCTCCCTACGTAGTGCACTACATAGAAATAAAAACACTGGCTCCTGCACCCAAACATTGCATTATATGTCAAATAAATAGAGATTTGGGATTCAGCCATATGTGTTCAATTCTATACTGGACAAATTGTGCACTAATTGTGTACAAAATTTCATAACATGGTGCACTATTTAGGAATGCGTTTGGTGATATTTAAGGCAATCATGTAACATTTGTTCATTTACTTTTTTATATTGCAGTTTACAGTGAATCATTCAACTTAGTAAGTAATTTAATTCCAAGCCTGTGATATTCTTGGAGGAGTTGTTTAGCCTCTTATCTGTCCTTAGCCTGTTAGCTAACTGATCAGCCTCATTCTAGTTGAGAAAATAGGTTGTCAGACCCTCAGTTTAAACAGTACCGGATTCTTACTTCATCAGTTTAGTATTTATCTTTTTGCTTACTGTTGAAAATTCTAGGTTACCTGATAAAACCAGTCCCAGATGACAGAATCCCTGAGGTAATGCATAGTTGCTTGTCATTATCCCATAGATATTGTTATCTCTGTTAGCTAAGGAGATCTTATCTATAACCTGCAAGGACCGTACTGGGCATGAAGGTAATCTTTAAACATCAAAAGTTTCTCAAGAAACCGATTCACAAAACTGAAACCTCTCCCATTTCCCAAACCTGCTGTGAGTGACGATGCAGTCTGTGATTCATGAAGTAAATATGGGCTTCTTTTTTCGTTGTACTGGCTACCTCAGTGAGACTCCTGTCTTTTTATTGGTTCTGTTTCTGCTGTCAGTGTGCCACTACTCATGTTCTGTCTTGTTCTCTCCCTCAGAAAACACCTGCTGGACCCCACCATTGATTATAAGGTAGGGAGTGGCATCTTAGCAATAGTCAGGCTTAGCAACACCTCAGTTGTATGTGTTCGGAGTTTCTCAGTTCACAGTTCGATTAGTTATGACGTTGTGAGACAGTTGATTTACATAAGCAAAGAAGAATAAAATAACAATGCAGTTCAATACTTGGCAAAAGTCAGAGACTATTTAATTTTCAGTCAACAGGGTCATTAAGTTATTCACTTTTAAGGAGATATTTCTGAGGAGAAAGGAAATTGTCAAGAAAAGAAGAAAATTTGAAAATTAAACAAAGAAGCTGCTGGTAGTCTCTGAGTTTTGTACTGTCCTGTGCATGTGTACTTACAAATGAATGTATCTGTTGCTGAGAACTGAAAATATGTCAGAGAATGCATTTCTTAATAATAGGGCGTGTGCTTGTGTTTGTATGTGTCTGTATCTGGGATAGGTGGAGAAAGAAGAGATAGAGGCCCTCATTCCTAAAGGCTTGTCTGAACTGACCAAGCAACAAATCCGCTACCTCCTACAGGTGTGTATTTTGAATGTTTATGGGAGTGCAGTGGTGGAAACAGTCAACACTCCTTTTTAACCACACCCTTTCCTCAGTCAGCCCCACCTTTAGTCTTCTGAGTAATAATGATGGCACCTGTTTGGTCTTTGCTGCAACTACCATAACAAAACACAGTTTCTGCAGGTACTTAAATCATCATCTCTCTCTCTCTCTCGCCCTCTCTTTATCCAGACGCGCCTGACAGCTGATAAGACCATGCGCCTTCTTCTGACCACCTTCAGCAGCCTGAGAGAAGAGTTGGTGCACCTGCAGGAGGATCTGAGGGTGAGAGTGTCCTCTCTGTCAGTCTGCTGTCACCACTACTGAACCATCTAAGTAGAGCTATAGTAGAGCTTAAATAAATCCAGAGATTTTTGTCCAAATCTGAATACTGACTCGACCCAAAGCACACTGCTGAGTTTTGAACCTGAGCTCAAATGAACACAGACAAATTTCTGTCAGAGTTTGAACCTGGCCAGTACCAACTACAAACATAGTAAAACCCCACATTCTTAATCATAGCGCTTGTTGGGTTACTGTGTAATAATAATGGCAGCCATCTTGAGATTATTGATGAACAAAATTAAGCTTCAACTCCACTTTGACGAATGTATTCATCAGTCAGTCTTCAGACAACATCCCAAAAATTTTTAGTCCTGATGAACTTTGCATAATGTTTTTGCATGACACACTGCACTGAAATCTTGGCTTAATTCAGTTGCAGAATGTGGGACAAAAGTTACGCTCATGTACTAAAAACCATAGATACATAGATACAATACAGGTTTTCTGCTGATAGGCCTATGATGCAAGAAAATGACCACATTCTAATAGTCCTTTCAGAACTGTTTTTAAAAAAGAAACCAGAGTAAATGTTATTTTACAGGCCTGTCTCTATCCCTGCATTTATTCTGATTGCCCAGCCGGTTACACTTTATTAAAATTGTGAACAGTTAATGTTGTATAAAAACTTAAACTAGCTGCCTCACAATAAAATATTCATGAATAAAATGTAAAGCTAACAGCTGTTCCTGAATGAAAATCGACTGGTGGTAGGTTGTTCTTCAAGACTGGTGGTAATCGACTGGTGATAAGTCAGGCTTGTGAAGGTGAGATCGTGCGCTTTCATCTTCAGCATGGAGACCTTTGTCCGTCAGTTTCACATTAGCATGCTTAGATGCATGCACAAATTATGCAGAAGAGTAGTCAATAGTCATGGGTAATCTATATAGAGGATATTTTTGTTTTAAATGCATTGTGCGTAATAAATGTTGCTGTGTTCAAGACATATAAAGCCCTATTTGAGCTGAATTAGCTTTACCTGGGGAGGATTGAGTAGTTTGACTGATTACCAGTGAGATCTGTGATTTAATCCAGTACGAATCTGCTGTGTTCAAAGACTTAAGTCTTTTTTTTAAGTCTTTTTTTTTTCAAGTAATAATTACAGAGTGAATTACTTTCTATAATTTGTCAAACTCTGAGTTTATTCAGCAGTAGTAGTCCTGTTTGAATCAAGCTCACAGTAATGTAACAAATCCTGCTGATACACATACACACCTCTGTTTTTTGGCTTCCGGGAGAGGCTAACCACTAAAATGGAGCTCTTGGCACAGTTCCCTTATCCTCAAGTTCAAAACAGGACTAATGCAATGTAAAGAATTTTGATGATAGGCTAATTAGAAAGAGAATGAAAGTAATAATCTGAAAGTACGTCACAGTGAAGAACAGTTTCTGTCATGTTAGGTGGGATTTGTCAAGTTAAATGAGCCCACTCGACTAGCCTACTGCTGTTCTATCTACTATTAATAGAAAGTTTATTTTTGGTGTTTTGTTTGGTTGGATCTGTTTAATTGTAACCTTACTGCTGATGTGAACCTCTGCACTATGATGTTTTGGTCTGGGCGATTTGGGGTTATTTGGGGAAGTAACACGGATACTTTATCCTGTACGAATTGGCTAGTTGAATCACTTACGAATGGCATTATCAGACCTCCTCTGGTGAAACGAATCCAGCTCATTTCTCATTAAGTAAGTAACTAATATGAGTACAATAATTGAGCTATAATGTGTTACACTACTTTGTTACAGGAAAAAGTAATCACATTACTGTAATGTGTTACTTTGTTCCATGTTGGACCTTATACTGGACATTTTAAGGCAGGTTACTCAACTGATTGCTGGGCCAAGGCAACATAGCTAATATACACTGACTGGCAATTTCAGTATTCAGCATAAAAGTTTGTGTCCCACAGCAACATTAAATGAGGTGGAAATTAAAATGTTGGCCTAAGGTCAGATATTTCATTAAATAACAGTTGGCAGTTACTGTAGATCCTCTTGCCATAAACCAGAAGCTTTGACATCAGCACCCATAATGTATCGTGCTGAATACAAACACCCGCAGCTCTGGTATAATGTCTGGTATAATGTCAGCTTAATGATGACTTTGTGATGCATGTTTGATGTGTCTGTCTGCATGTAAACATGCTTACATACATAACCGAAAGCTTGGAATCACTTGCAGTATTAACATTTTTTTGTAATTTTATGTAAAATATAGATCTGTCAAACGCTTGAAATGACTTAAATTTGACCTGGTAACTTTTTTCAGTGCATTTTGTTGTAGCTATATAAGTGGACAAAATAAGCTTTATCAGAATTTATTTATGACTTTCAATAATTCAGTAACATTTTTTTCATCATGTAAATGCAGTTTCCAGTTTTTATCACCAGTGTACACTGAGAACAACAGTGGCTGCATGTTCCAGCTCCACTGTAATTGTAGCCTCTCACTTGCATACTGCTCTCATGTGTTATGTCTTGTTTGGAGGTGAACAGGAGCTTTCCACTTTGCTGTTGCTTAAGTTAATTTGCTGCTTGTTGGTTTATCCATAGTTCTCTCAAGTACTGTCCAGCATAGTCTGCCGAACTACTGACATTGCAGATATCCTTTGGTGATAAGCAAAATCACTGCTTTGCAGTAGCTGGAAATAACTTTCATCAGGAGAGCCATGAATCTAACAAATACTTGTGGATTTAAATATTTTACAAAATGTGTTTTTCAATATTAAATTTAATGTTTCAGGAATTCTGTGAACACTAAGTTATTAAATGATAAATAATATGCACATAACAATGCATTGTGAAATAAAAACTGTGACCGTGCGACTTCTATGTAATTATACCACCTAATGCAATGGCATTGTTGTGAACCAGAGTTTGCAAACAGTCAGCACCAATCAACTTACTCCAGCACTTCTTTTTCCTCCATGCTCTAGTGATGTTAGTACATTCTGCAACAACATGACTCATTTTCTTAAATTTGAATTTTGTCCAAAATAGTGACAATACCAAATGGTGAATCCAGTATCGTGAATTAAACTGTATCATGTGCTAAGGGTAGTGTTACATTACTAATAAATAATACTATAAGCTGTGTATAATATATAACTCAGTGCTCATTCTGGTCATGTATTTATTTTCTTTTATTTAGAGATTCCTAGTGTGTTATTGATTATCTAAAGCTGAAAAGTTGTGCAGGTCTAGCATATTCAAATCATTTTATATCACTTGTTTGCATCCAAATAGATTTATATTATTTATACAGCGATTCCAAAGTTTTGAATGGTAGTATAAACAGTTGTATGCAAAAGTGTAGGAATCCTTGGTCAAATGACCGGTTTTTGATTTTCTAAGTGAATAAGTTACAGAGAACTTCTACAGAGAACATGCTTCTGCACATTTTAATGCACAAGTACTGTTTATTTGCTGAATTAACAAATTAACATATTGGAAAACGCACAACTTTCCAAACTTTAAAACTTATCAAACTTTTGCATAAAATTTGTATGTGTGCGTGTGCATGTAAAACCTGCATGAAACCTCTCTGCATCTGATTTATGAAACTGTCATCTGACAGTGAAAAATCTATGATTTGAGCACAGTTAGTTAATCAGCTTCAGCAGTGTGGAAATGAGCTCCCAGACACCAGCCCCTTTTTTGCATATCGTCTGCAAATGACACACCCCGTTTACCCTCATATGCATATAATTACATCTGTCACACTCTGATTCATGCAGGTGTTGTGATAGAGAGCCAATAAAAGGAAAACAGTCAGCAGGCTCCAGTGCCAGTGATTGTTCATGTGCAAGCACAGCATCATGTGTTGTAGGACTGCTAATTCTACCATTGTTGAAAGCCTGGTCTTGAAGCATTTGTCTGTTTTTAAACTTACTACTCAACTATACTACTACTATTACTAATGAGCAAGTAAACCTCCAAATCTGCAACTTTCAGTTCATATTTGTAATTTATTTTGTTCACAGTACTCAAATTGAAATACTTATCAATTTATTACACAGATTCCTAAATGTGTAATTATCAACAATGTTATTTCCTCTTTAATTTTTGACATTATTTATGATGTTGATAGTGGTTTTCTTTATTTAATCGCAAGAAAATTGAGTAGAAAATGACCAATTTTATAACCAGATTTGACCATACGTCACATTGATGAATAAGGGCCAGTGTGCTTGTGTGCAGCGCCTGGAGAGTGAAAAAGAAGAGCTGGAGAGGGACCTGAGCTTTAAGGCTGAGCAGGCACAGCAGTATGACAGATTACTGGAAGCTGTACGTGAGAACAACCGACAACTACAGGTATGTGCATTCAGCAACGTGTGATATCTGACACTTTTAATTAAAAAAAGTTGTTAATTTTCAGTATCAGGAGAAAAACAGAAAACTTATGTTTAACAGAAAATTATACAGAAGCCTTAACAACTAAATATAATATAGTGTATGTATTTAGTGTGTCCACTCTGCCTCTATTACAGCTTCCGTTCTTTTCAGAAGACCTGCTTTCAGTTTTTCAAAGAAATCTGCAGGGATATTTTCTCACACCTCCAAAGTTCAGTCTTAGAAGTCGCATTTTCTGCTTCTCACAATCCAAGTAATCCCAAACACATTCAGTGATGTTGAGGTCTGGACTCTGGGGTGGTCACTCCATTGTTCTGAGAACACCAGCAGCTTCTTTGTTTGATTTGCAGATTTTCTCAGAACAATAGACTGATCACCCCAGAAAAAGCTTAGCTTTTTAACAGCTGCATCCTTTCAAACTCATAGCAGTGAGTTGTTGTCTTACTTTGGACCTTGGTTTGTCCCCTGTCTTTCAAAGATGAAAGCTCTAGGTATTGTTTCTGATGGTGACAGTGTTAGTGATTTACTACTAAGTCTTGCATGGTTCTTAGGAGTCCTCTTTTCTCTGTACATCTTATTTTTTGAGCTCCAGTTTTGGAAAGTCCTGCATTTGCCAGTTATGTTCCTTTGTCAGATATCTCATGCAGGTGGCTTATCTTACATCTAATCTCCTAAAAAGAAATATCTGCTGAAAACTTAAGTTAATGGGCATTTTAACTGGAAATGAAATAAATGAAGGGTGGTCTCTAACGTTTGTGTAGCACTGTAGATAGGAGGATAGCACTATGACATTTAGATGCTATTTATAAGCCGTCGTCCTTTGTACTTTACTAGTAGCCCTTTTAGAGTTGTTGATGATTTACTCCTAAACTAGTGTCTTTTTACAACTTTTGCAGTTTGCATGAATTCAGATATCTGCTGCATGGAAATTCTTCCTCAGTGCTCTAGTGCAGGGGTACCCAGTCCTGGTTGTGGAGATCTACCACCCTGGAGGGTTCAGATCCAACACACCTGGCTCTACTGTTCAGTTGCCCCTGAAAGCCTGTATCTGGATCAGGTGTGCTAGATTAGGGGTGGAGCTAAACTTTGCAGGGTGATGGATCTGCTCAAGTAGGTTTTTGAATGCTGGACCTTTAAGAGATTGTTCTGTCAAGATCTACCACACTGGAGGGTTGCAAAGAATTTCTGTACATCTATCACCGTTGTTCATGCAACACGTTGTACAAGGGGGTCAAGTATTGTAATACAGGAGAACCAACTTGAAATAGATCTACATTTCTGTACTGAGAATGTCCATTTAACCATGTTAAAATCCTTTTAATGTGTTAAGGTATGATGTACTTGCTCACACTCACAAACTAATACACTATTATCTCTTTGCTTACTTTATCAGAACTCGCTGAAAGAGACCAGCGCTACCCAGCGCACTCTGGAGACTCAGCTGATGAGCAGCCGCACCACAGACTCCAGTAAGGATTTCCGCCTTAAGGAGCTGGAGGGCAGCAAGAGGGCTCTGGAACAGGAGAACGAGCTGTTGCGCAAGAAGGTATGAACTCTGTTGTAGATTCCAGGGACTCTCGCAGTACAGCACACAGGAATATTAGTGTTAACTCACTTTCTGTGATGTGGTTACTTACTCAGAAACTTCAATATTAAGACTCCTTCACTGAACAATGACTTGAAAATAGAGCACTTTTTTATTTGAATTTTGATGAACTTCAGGAAAACAGGAAACTGGAGATTGCGTGGTGAAAACCCACAAAATTGTAGTCTGTCTTTACTGTCTGTCCCTTTGTGTGTGTGTCTTTGTGTATGTGATTGAGTGGGTCTCTCTGTGTGTGTGTTTTGTTTTTGTACATTTCCAAGACAAAAAAGTCCCGACTTTGAAGGGGAAAAAAAAACATTTTTTGTTACTGGGGTTAGGTTTAGGGTTAGATTTAGCGTTTGGCTTAGAAAAGTACACTACTGGACAAAAGAAATCATTGTTTTCAAAAATATAAAACCAATTTGTTGATAAGCTGTATAAATAAAAAGAACTTTCAGCTATTCAGTAGGGAGCTGTAAAAATGAAGAAATGTTAGATTTGTCCATAATAATGAACAGAGGTGTAGATGATTCCTTAATGACCGAAAACGTTTTTTTTTAAGAAATTACTAAAAATAAATAATCACATTATATTATATAATAATTTCTCAATGTTTCCCAAAAGACTTGAAATATTTAATAAAACATCCTGAAATAAAATGTGGTGTCCAGCTTATATTATTTCATAGTATTTCTAGAATGTATAAGTTGAAATTGAATAAAATAACAGCACTTATTAATATGGTGATTCCAAACCTTTGAACAGTTGTGTTAATAAACATTATTATTACATCTAGATACTTACATTAACAGTACTCAAAAACTCAAAAGTCACAACAATTTTAATTATTTTCATTTTACTTGTAAATAGAATAAATAGAAATGAATGTAAATACAGTAAAAAGTTTGTTCCCACCCTCTTAAGGATTTTGTTTTTAACTTCTTGAAGTATTTTTTTAACTACTTGAGTTTTTAAACATTTCCTCTTCTTATTATTATTACATATGTATTTACATATGTTCAATACATACGGGACATATTACGTATATGTACTTACATATCTTTGCTCTTATGTAAAACACTTGTATATTAATTTTTGTCATTTTTTAATTGTTATGCATAATTTGAAAAGTCCAGTTACAAATGTGTTTGTTTGTGTATGTGTGTGTGTGTGTGTGTGTGTGTGTGTGTGTGTGTGTGTGTGTGTGTCTCAGTTGGAAGGTCAGTTGAGTACTTCCACTCTGAATGCTAAGACACAGGAGCTGTCCAGACATTACGAGCAGATGCTGAGTGCTTTACGGGAGGAGAAGGACAAAGAACTGAAGAGCATGCGGGTGAGGCCTGCCAGGGGCTCTTGCTGCAGTTTAACTATTTGACTTTTATTTGTGCCTTTTAACATTGTTACCCACGTAAAACCTGGATTCATAGAAACAGTGTTTAAAGTGTGGAATATATACTGCTTGTTAAAAGTATTGGGACAGCTATCTTTTCAGAAAAAAATGTTTCTAATAAATGATCACATTTTCTTTGTCAGTTGGCAATAACATTTGTGGGGGGAGGGGTGCTGGTGGGGGTGTTTTGCCCAATTCTCTCCTCAGTTTATTCACCGGTTTTATTGGTTTAATTTATTCATTGATTTTATTGTATTTAAAAATTGGGATTCAAATCTCAGGCAGATAAATCAGTCAGAAATTGGGGGCAACTTTTGGTGCTGGATTATATTGAAATTCGCCACTCACCAAGGTACCCCCTCTAAAGCCCGCCCCCAAACTCCTCTAGTCCACGCTCTTTTAACACCTGTGGTACAGTCGAGAACGCAAGCAAAACAAGCTAGCTAGCGAAAGACTAATGGAACTCTTCTTTTGCAAGGGGTTATGTTGATTTTTACAAGGTTTTTCTGGGGGACTTTTCTGCTAACTTACTTTACATCCATGTCATAACAACAGTGTTGACAAGTGCACCATCTCCCCCCAGTTTTAAGCACTGCTTAGCATTGGTTTAGAAATTTCTCTCTCAGTTCGTTTCCACCCTCTTAAGACTACAATCCCACCCATATTTAGCCCACGAATGTCTCCAGATGAGATCACATCTGACCATACCAAGACTACTTAATTCAGTTTTTCCAGCCAGACTGTGTATGTAAATAAAGTGTGTGCAGCAGATATAGCTGCTTGATGTTTTTGAGGAATTATTGACAGAAATGTTCATGTGATACTCCTTACCTCAAAACAAACCTGGTTATTGTTTTAGTCATTATTATGTTTAGTCTTCAGTATAAGCCGTGGCAAACTGACAAAGAGAATGTGCACCTTTTTTTTAAACAGTGGCAGGTGTCCCCAAGATGGGCAGTGTGGTGTTTATCATGATGTTTGAAACAGAAACTTTTCATATAATTTTATATGCAGTGTACATAATTGTATAATGTTATTTACTGTTAAAGCTGAATATTTGCATTTTGTATAAAGGTGGATCATAGTTAATTCTACCTCTAGCAGCATTTGCTCCATCAGACCATCACAGTACATGTCTGTGCATGTGTGTATGTGTGAGACAGTCTCAGCTGGTGAAGATCCAGACGGAGTACACTACTGAGCGCTCCAGTGATAAGAGCCTGCAACTGAGGATTACAGAGCTGCTGACCACACTGGAGCAGCGCGAGTCTGTCATTAGACGCCAAGAGGAGGTCAGACCCATGCGCAAACACTCTCCCGAACATAGACACTTTACAGTATTGCAGCTGCCATAAAATAGGTAGTGATACCCGGATTATATGAGAGAATGTAACTGGCTTTTGCTTCATTTTTTTTAAGTGGTATGGGTTCATTTTGGCTGATCTAAATTTGCACTAAATTTGAATCCCAAGTCTGACATAGATCCAATTAGGGGTGGAAAATTTGACAGTGTTATTGTTATTGTGATAAATTATGTCACAATACACTTTCCTGAGCATATTGTGGATATTGACAGTACATTGATTATATCTATCATTACAAAGTAAGCATGATTAGTCTTGTTTAATTGTATTCAGTGCACTGCAGTTTGCAAAACATTGAATATAAATCATTGTAAGTTTATTATTATTATTATTATTATTATTATTATTATTATATATGTGGCACTACAGGTTCAATTTTGTCTGTTCCAACTTATTAAAACTCAGAAAAACTAAATATTGTGAAAAAAATGCCTTGAAGTATCCTGATGTAATATTTTTGCAGCATTTCCCGTGTCTAGATCTGATGCTGATAGTGTGGTATTGATACTGATGGTGTGCCAGAGGCGAGCTGGTTTGTTCCGGAGGAGCCGCATTTGGCTGTAGTCTTCTAGTATCTAAGTTAGTTATAGTAGCCTTTAAATCATAGAATAAGTGTTGTAGTACTTGAGTGCAGTCTTGTCCGTGTCTCATTCTCAATATCATTTGGACTCAGTCTTGTCTCAGTCTCTGGATAAGGTGGATTTAGAAATTGTTCTCAAGACCAGCCAAGTGTAGTGTCTCCATCTGAGGTAACTGGAAACTGGTAACGTTTTCCCCATTATTATTGAATATCAACAAAGCTTTGAAACAGAATAAAACAGTCCTTTCTCTACATGTTTAAATAAAACCTCACTGCCGGTTGAGGAGCTGATTGATCATTTCCATGATGGCTTAGCTGGGTATTATTTGTTTGTTGACGTTCTTTCGTTCCAAAACTGAAACATCCCAAGGGCACATGGAGCCTCACTCACCAACCGTTCTGAAGGAGAAATTTCTTGTTAAAACCCACTTGCACAGTTTTTATGAAGATTCTGACATTCAACCATGTTTTCTTATTTGGGATTTGTTCTTGGGTAATAACAGAATCTACACACACTCAAGAGCACAAAGTTGTGAACAATTCTGCAGTTTAAGAACTTGTCATGAATCTGACGCAGGCTTTTTCTTAGGACCTTTCTCAAGAACACATTTAAGAAAAAGCATAGGTAGATACTGGTGAAAGAGGCCCATTGTTATTATATATGTTTTCATTCAGTAATAAAAATTAATGTGTGTTTGGTTTATGTTCAGTTGACTTGATTCTGAGTATGTTTTAGAGAAGAAGAGACAAAGAATAACCTCACAAAAATTTCCTATATTATGACTATAAATACTATAGATACAATGTAATAATAAATTATACTATTTTCAGGCTATATATATATATATATATATATATATATATATATATATATATGTATGTGTATTTATATTAATGTCAGTTTTACAAATGTAAAATGTTTGATTACAGAACTCTGAGAGCTTTTTAAGGTCTCCTGCCTGACCTGGAAAAAAAAGCTTCGGAAACACTATACTGCTAGGTGTTCATTAAGGATCATACAATATATGTTCTACTGTTCATACATATCATTTATTGACTTGGCCTTTTGGTCCAATGTACAATTTTTGAATGTTTTTTAAAAACGGAAACAGAATTTATTTATTTATTTATTTGTTTTTTTCTGTCTTACAAAATATTACAAAAAGTATGCAGTCAAATCACATCTTCTCCTTTTTAGGTAGTTGTAGTAAGCCTGAGAAAGTAACTGTCTCAGCACAGGTCATGCTTAAAAAGCCAAGAAAAGTTTACTACTGTTACTGTGCCTGATGATACATTCTGTTTACGAGGCTTTCCAATCATTTTTATATGGGTTTAATGCAGCCCCCTGTTAATTTGGATAATATCGTTTTTTACAAGAAGCCAACAAGGTCGATGAGTTTGATTGACAGCCCTTATTCCCCTGAGTGTTTCTTCTCCTTAACACTTCTGACCTTTGACCCCTGGTATGTGTCCTCAGGAGATCAGACGGCTCCAGCAGGAGAGGAGCGACAGTTCCAAGAGTGTTACCAAAACTGTAATCACCAAAAGGTGAGTGAGTATTTGAGGATGGAAATAGGTGAGTGTGTGAGGGGGTATGTGTGCTTTAGAGAGAGAACATGACTGTATCTGAAACTGTTCTATACTGTTCTCGGTCTAAATTATTATTCATGTGTACGTAAAGTATATAGTTTGTGTATCCTTAATATAATGTAATTTAAAATTGGAATGAGTTTTGCTTTGAACTAGCCCACTCCTCTGATAGGAAGCTCTGTAGCCATGACTCAGTCAAAGAGCCACTTTGGCCTATCTTCTCACTGGTGCAGATATAGGAACCAGTACCCTATACTGGGCCTGCTGAGTGACGACTACCAGGCCACATCACCTGTGAAGGAGGCCAAGACCATCGTCATTGAGAGGACGGGAGAGATGATCAAACAGGTACCCTTAGACTGTGGCACTGGACTGAAAATTGTTTAATTTAAAAATTAAATTCATGACAAATCCAAATTGTTTAATCTTTTAAAAAATACAAAAAAATAAGTATTTAAGTATTAAGTATTTTCAAAAGTTGACATTTAGGGGTGAGAGTTTGGAAGAGCCACCTTCCAATAGAAAGTGTCCTATAAATGATTATTTTGTACATATTTAGCTTATTACTATCTCAGTTAATGCGCTGGGTTTACATAGATAGTAAGTTATATAAAGTATAAAATATGTTTGTTTCTATTGGGTGTGGGGGTGGGGTTAGGGTAATTTTCTATAAGGCCAAATCAAACATCCTCATTGGCCAAATTTGAGCAGCCCTGAACTAGTTCATAAACAAACTTAGTTGGATAATGTAGCAGTGGATAGCACTTCCATAACTCAGTGTAGATCCCTGTTAGCCACTTTTAGATAACAGTGTTTGTTTTTCAGTGGTAACAGAAAGTTTGGTGAGATAGTCATAAAGAGAGTTGCTTATCTCTTATGAGTAATTCTTAATCACGTAGCTGTCTTTTGTCTTATTGAACATTTTTGCATATAGCTTAAAGAAAGGGTGTAATTGTACAGGTATTTGAGTGGCTGCCACTGTAATTCTGGCATGAGGGGACAGTGCTGAATTCTATGTGTTTAAAACTGCTTATATGATTGAGCCACATAGCAGATCGTAAGAGAAAACTCTGTGATGTAATTGAAAGGCAGCTGGTAATTGTTGGCAATTTATGTGTGGCAACTTTGAGATTATATTTAAGCAACAGAGATAGAGCAGATTTTTATAATCTTTAAAAGTTCTAGCTCTAACAGCCTTTAGCAACCAGAAGCTTGTCTATATTAGACTCTTCTCAGTGCAGTCCTTTTGGAGATCGAGAAGGCTCACATTTTATTCTCCTCCAGCTCAGCCACATGATCAGAGATTGTAGAATGCAATGTGTTAAGAAATGAAAAGTAAAAAAATGTGGTCTAGCTGGGGGTCCCCGAGGTCTGTATTGAAATCTGGTTTAGTCAGGCCAAGTTAATCTATTTATGTGACAAACATGTTAGTTGTAAAACCTTCTAGTTGCCACGCAATCACAAATTCTTATAGCCCAGCACAGGTGTGCTTTGATGACCAAGCAGAGAATGCCGTGTCAGAGTATCAGCTAAAAACAAGCCCAGCTGTCAGGTGCTGCTTGACAGTATTGCTTACAGTCTCTAAATAACAAAGCTGTTTGACAGGCCAACTTTTCAAGCTTCTCTATGTTCACCTCTGTGACCGTTTTGAGAGCATCTGAAGGACATGAGGTTTTTAAATGAAATTTTGAGGAAATGAAGTACTGTTAAAACTGTCATGAACACTGTGTTCTGTTCTGTTTTGGGCAGGAAATCATTACCACGCCCTAAAGAAAATGCTTCTCTCTGACAGGAATGAACACGAGGAAGATCCAGAAGCCTCTCCCTCCATCCTAACCCTTCCCTCCCTCTCCCTCCCTTTCCCTCCCTCCCTTTCTCCCCCTATCCTGCATGCTATCGTTCCCATTACTCCAGGGCTCCATAGAGTGGTGGTGGTTCCAACCTTATTGTGGAGGATGTGGTATTATGGGAGTTGAGGCATGTAAAAGCACAGCTCGTGGTGTTGAGGCCTTCACACTTGTTTATCATCATATTACACTATTGGATTTAGGCGCATTGCTGCTTCATGCTGATTAGAGCTGTGCTGATGCATTTATCTCCACAATGGCTAACCTGACTGTGTTATAGCTCAGTAAGGATGTGTATTGGGCTTTTTAAAGGACATTCTTGGTAGTGTTGAAACCGCTTTGGGCTCGAGCCACCACAACCCTACCAGCCTCTGGTCAGCACTCCTGTAAGCATGTATGTAAGCACAGACCATGTGCACTGTAATGTTACAGTATGTGGTGACATTGGTGATATTGTGACATGTAAGGACTTCGGTTATCTGCCTTGGTTACTTTCCCTCATGAGTTTTGGAGGATTGTGCTTAATTTCTTTTTACTATGTATTTTTATTTTGTTCTTGCCGTTTCAGAGAGTACTGCTGTAGAACGGGTTGCACAGGTGTAGGTTAATGTTAAGTTGGTGACGGGAAATTTTGCTATGCAGAGTTTGTTTTTTGTGGTGGTTAAAGATGCATGTGGCAATGAAGTGACTATCCTGTCACAGAAATAAAACAATATGGAATATTGGGTTGAGGAAAACACTGAGATAGTAACAATAACACAGTGAGAGGGTTTTTTGTATGGTTAAAATTTTCAACTGCTGAATTTTGGAATGGCATCTAATATCTTGGTTGAGGTATTATTTTGTTATTATTGTAACATAATAAGACATCTGGTTGAATTAAAATTATATCAAGAGAAGTTGGCAGCTAATGCGCATTTTTAACCTTCCCTCCAAGTAAAGCACAAATCAAGAATTGCCAAAACAGCAGCAGCGCTAACCTGAGAAGAGTTATAGACTAACAGACGCTAATAGACTAAATCAGGTGTAATGTTGAGTGATCTCTGGCGTAGCTATTCAGAAGCCTCACGCTAAAGCCACAGGCTTTACGTTCCTTTGAGAATGCTAAAATATACACTGTAATAATATGATTTTACACTGGATCTAGTGCTGTGTTCGAGTGTTCCTGAGGTTCTATATTCAGTCGTATGCAAAAGTTCAAATGGAAATCGTGCACTAAAATTAGCAGAAAAATGCCATATTTAAGTTTGCTCCCTGTAGAGGATGTTTTAACTTATTTTCACTTAGAAAATCAACAAAGCATGAAACTTGCCAAACTTGAGAGACACACAGGAAAAAAAAGCATGTAAGTCCGGAAAATCCATATCCTGCTTTTCTTTGCTATATTAAAAAGCGCATAGAACACATCGTAGCACATCAGGTATATATATTTTTTTCCTCTTTTACTGTCAGACTTATATAACAGCTTTAACTGATTTATGTAGCAGCCACTGAAATAGAGTGGTGCCTTTGAAGGGATAACTTGATTGGCACGTTGCTTTTGTTCAAGTTCTTTGGGCTGACTCTCAAGAATGTGGTGACACTCCTGTGTGAAAATGACAGTTTTCTGAGGTCTTATCAGAGAGTAAGAGAGATGATTGAAGAGTTTTTCCAGGTGAAAAGTATGTATTTGTACCTTTTCATAGACCAATGATTTAAAACAGAACAATAAAGTAAAAAGCCTGGAGACGAGACGGGGTGTGTGGAGTCAATACAACAAAGAAAATATAATTTCAATAGTTTATGGTACAATTATGTTCCCTGACTAAAGGTACTGAGGTATAGGGTACCACCCCAGAGATGAGAGGGGCCCCAGTGCCAGTTTAGCACTTTTTTCTGAGAGTGCTGTGTGAGTTGGGGAGGGGCAGGTCAAATATTTCCTCCATATTTTTGACATTATAAACACCATTTAAAAGAAGTGAACACCTCTATTATCACTGTTCCAGAGTTGTAGACCACTTCCTCCTCTCTTATATCACTCATTTACAGAAAATGCCATTTTCACAGGAATCAGCACTGCTGTTATTCTTAGTAAAATGAAACCAGATTGAGAAATATAGTGGCCTTTTGCCATTCACAACCAAAATAACCACCCACTGCATGTACTTTGTGTTAAAGTATTTGATTTGATTTGTGTTAAAGTTTTTGTTACATTGTGTGCTTCAAATAAACAGTAGTTGGGCATGCGTAAATCAAGTGAGTGCATTTTTTTGTGTGCCATTTGCAAGAGATTGAGTCAAAGTGGTGTTCATCTCTTTTCATCATATTAACCATGTTCTTCCTCCATGTTCTTTAACCTCAGCATGTGGGGGCTGTATGGCCTGCTACCACAGCTGTATACCTTTTAGCCACCAGGAGGCACCCCACCCTCATGCATGCTCTGTTACAGGACAGCCAGCGGGCAGGCTTTCTATCTGCATGAATGAGGTCATTATAACTGGCAAGGGCATGTTTGGCTGGCCACCATTTTGATTCATTCACAGCTTTGGATCAGTCAGCCGCCTTACCACTCCCATCTAGAGGCAATGGTTTGTATGCCCGTGCATGTATCAGTGAACTTATCCAAGCAGTAAGACTTTAACATGAAATTTATGTAGAAACATTTTAGTGGCAAAACGAGTTTTCATATAAACACATTTTTGCGTAGTTTAGAAGTTTACTAGTAATTGTGGTGAGCAGAATAATTTATTCAGTGTAAATGTGCCTGCAGTAAGTAGAGAAATTTTATTTAGGGAGCAGTTTAATGACATTTGTCTTGGGTTTATTTCTTGCTAATCTCTACTGAAATAATTGTTTTAAAGAAAAAGTATTTTTGCCTTACCTGAAAGTAGGACTGGGCAATGTGGCAATATTTATTGTTATTTTGATCAATTATGTCACAGCTTTTCTGAGCATATCATGGATATCGTCAGGGCTTAATAACACTGTTTAATTACAAAGAGAGCATAATTAGTCCTGTTTAATTGAATTTAGTGCAATGCAGGATGTGAAATGTTGATTGCTAATCATGGTATGCATAGATTTTTATAGTATCCTTCAAATATGGCACTACTTTTTCCAACTTTCCAGATGTACATTTTGATTAAAGACTGAGCAAGAACTTTGTCTTTTAAATTATATGAATAATGGTGCTAATATGACCAGACACATGAACTAACAAAATTTAAAACAAAATCCCGGTTTTGATTTCAGGCTGACTTTGGGCTGGTTTCCTGATTTAAGCCTAATTAATCTCACACTAAATTCTAGGACTAAAGGTGAGTTTCCATTGAAAATTCTTTTTAGCCTAAGATTAGGCTTAACCTGGATCTGGGACAATAGTCTTTAAGTTGCACTGGCTAATGTAGCTTTAAAGTAATGCAGGCGCATATCCACCAATTAGCATTGTGCAAACTGCCTGAATCATCACAAAGTCAATTGAAATGGCTTTTGTGGTTTCTCATGTTGTATGATATACTGTTATCGAAAAGGTACATAACAACTATAGTAGCAGTCGTCTTGAATTCGAAATTTTGTCCACTGTTAAAAAGTAAAACAGGGCAGATTTGTATTTTGATATTTGAATTGTTTTTGTTCGTCTAAACCACAGGTGTGCAAATTATGTGCCTTACGGGAGCTAAAATGCAGTGTTTTTGGTGGCCCGTAGTCCAAAAAGACAAAATACTGTAGGTTGTAAATCATAATCATTTTAGAACATTATGCCATATGTTTTGTTATGAAAAGCAAAGTATTTTTTAAAAATGTGAAGTTCTATAAAAAAGGAAGACAAAATGAAGAGGTGTGGGAGAGGGTGGTGGGGTAACTTCCTGGTTGATTGGTTGTAACAAATGATGTCACAAAAGAAATTGGTTTCCATGGACGAGCAGCTGCACACAAGCCTAAGACCACTGTGCGCAATGTCAAGTGTTGGCTGGAGTGGTGTAAAGCAGGGATGCTCAATCCTGATCCTGGGCGTCTACCACCCTGGAGGGTTCAGATCAAACACACATGGCTCTAATATTCAGATGCTTCTGAAGGCCTTCACTATCTGGATCAGGTGTGTTAGATTAGGGGTGGAGCTAAACTCTGCAAGGTAATAGATCTCCAGGACCAGGATTGGGCACCCCTGGTGTAAAGCATGTCGTCACTGGACTCAGCAGCAGAAATGTTCTCTGGAGTGATTAGTTATGCTTCACTATCTGGCAGTCTGATGGATGAAACTGGGTTTGGCAAATGCCAGAAGAACGCTAGCTACCGGAATGTGTAGTGCCAGCAGTAAAGTTTGGTGGAGGAGGGATAATGGTCTGGGGCTGTTTTTTGGGGTTTGGGCCCCTTACTTCCAGTGGGAGGTATTGTTACTACTACAGCATACAAAAACATTTTACACAATTATATGCTTCCAACTTTGTGGTACACGTTTGGGGAACACTTTCCTGTTCCAACATGACTGCATTCCTGTGCACAAAGCGAGGCCCATAAAAATTGATCTGATGAGTTTGGTGTGGAGGAACTCCAGTGGCCTGCACAGAACCCTGACCTCAACCCCACTGAACACCTCTGGGATGTCAATTGTGAGTCAGGCCTTCTCATCCAACGTTAGTGCCTGACCTTACTAATGGACACAAATTCCCACATACACACTGTAAAATCTTGTGGAAATTGTTCCCAGAAGAGTTAAGGGTGTTACAGCTGCAAAGAGGGAGCAACTCCATATTAATGCCCGTGGTTTTGGAATGGGATGTCCAGCAATCTCATATAGGTGTGATTAGTTGTCCACATATTTTTGGTCAGATAGATAGATAGACAGACGGAGACCATAGCAATGTCCTAGCAAGACCTTCACAGTTCCCTCTGATTCCACAGCCTTGCATGAACCTTGGATGACATAGCAGCATCTTACCAACCACTTGAGATAATATCGCAACATCTTAGCAACCACCTGGGACACCACAGCAATGGCCAACAAAACCTTGGCAACCACCTGGAATTTCATAATAACAGCTTTGTCAAGCCCAGCTAAAACTTCATTAACAAGTTCTCTGCAGAAAAAGATAACATACTTGAGAAAACTAGACTATGAGCCCTTTAATATCTGACCTGAAAGACTTGAATGGAATGATGTCATAGTGGTGGTGCTCAGCTGTAATAAATCAACAAGACCTAAAAACTCAGATGCCGCCCATTAATATATCCCTCTTCCCTTCTGATGAGGGAAATATTATAGGGCTTGAGTTTGCTTAGTCAAAGTGTCTCTCTCTCTCTCTCTCTCTCTCTCTCTGCTGTGCTATGGGAGAGCAGTGTATGAGCTGAGAGGCGAGCAGGCTTAGTAATGGGAAGGCATTGATTATGGCTGATAATTCAGGGCTTTGATGTGGATAATGCAGCCTCTCTCTTCCTGCACTGGCCATGCACTCCCTGCCCCTGGGGCCACAGAGGATATTGGGTTTACAGACACTGCTCTCTCTCTCTCTTCTCTCTCTCTCTCTTCTCTCTCTCTCTCTCTCTCTCTCTCTCTCTCTCTCTCTCACTCTTGTGTAGTGTCGTGACACTATTCCATCACGAGTCCAGTAGTACCCTAGTTAGTTCTCATAAATGTAATTGTTCAAGAGGAAGTTTTTTCTTTTTCCTCTACCTCGTCATAGTTGTCAATATGTGTTTGCACACACATGTATCCTCCTCTTTCTCTCTCTCTCTCTCTCTCTCTCTCTCTCTCTCTCTCTCTCTCTCTCTCTCGGGATGCTTGAGTGGTCTTTCTTGTGTAAATCATGTGTTCCATGAATCCCCCCCCGTTTTCCACCAGCATGTCTCCACTGTATTTATTTAGTTGTGTCTGTTTGTGACTGTGTGTCAGGAATCGTCTGTGTGCTTTTTTTATTCTCTCTCTCTCTCTCTCTCTCTCTCTCTCGCTCTCTCACCCCTCTCACTCTCTCTCGCTCTCTCTTGCTGTCTCTCTCTGGCTGTTTTTCCCATTCCCCTCTAATATTGATTCATGGGGCTACATGCAGGCTAGCTGGACCAAACCTACAGGGACTGATGTCCCCCCTCTTCTCTCTGACTGAACAAACTGCTTAACTATCTCTCCTTAAAACAGGAGAGGCAAATACTTGAAGGCATACCCTCCACCACTTTCCTTCCTAGTTGTTCTTCTTTTTAGAGAGTTAAAGGGGAATTCCACTGATTTTTCAAAATCATTGAGATATGAACAGTCATTGAGAGCGGTTTGATGTGAAATTGTAGCATTGTAGGGAAAGCAGCTCAGATTTCTTTACAGTGGAGGTGTTGGGAAGCAGAAGTATCAATGTGTAATATAGACGTAACACACATGTAACCATTTTATTTGCTATACAAAACCACCAGTGAACGATTTTCTGAGTTTTTATTTGTGATGCCGATGGTAAAATAGGGGCAAATCTGAAATAATAACTTTTTTTTGGGAACTATTTTGCCTTACAATGTCCTGCATGTACCCCTCTGCCATGGAGGTATTTAAATTAAACCAAAAAAAACTACATTTAAGGCCAAAGCTTTATCTCAAAGCTATCACAAAACAGTCTCAGGCCTCAGGCAATGTGACCAATTGATGTAATAACTCTCTGTGAGGTAGTTTTTAGAGACATTAACAGTTCAGACATCTAGTTCCTATCACCACCACTGTGAACAATTCTGACTCCTATGCACCAAATTTAGGTTTCAGTAGGGCTGCTACTGTTTTTAGCTATGTATACTTTCATCCATTTTTATACGCTACCATTCAAAAGTTTGGAATCAATGTTTTCAATAACGTAAAACCAGCTTTGTTGCAGATATGTGTATAAAATGCTTCCTCTTCATGTTACAAATAATTAATAGAAGGAAATGAAATTGTAGATGTATCAGAAATGATAAACAAAGCTATACAGTATACAATATATCGCTGCTGTTGGAACAAAGCCTTGTATCTCCGTTTGCCTGTTGTCCTTTACATTGTGTGTAAATTTCATGATGAATGGACCAAAGAAACGGCTCAAAATTACTTAGAAAAAAATCCAGTTCCATTGACTTACATTAAAAGTGAAGTATGTTTTTTGCTTCTCCTGTAAAGTTCTCATTTTGGAGATACAAGGCAGTGATATGTATGATTCTAAAATGACTACGCAAGAAACTTGGGCAAGCTTGTCTTGGCTGATCAGCTACATCTGGGGTAAGGGTAATATTGTGTACATGTGATTATAAC